ATACTACCCTCATCTACTCAGACCCCAACCCACACACATTAAATAATGTTGTGAATAATGACCTTAAAAAAGTCCACTTATGGATGTCAACCAACAAACTAATATTAAACATAGAAAAGACCTACTATATCTTATTCGGAAGCAAATCAACAAATACAATTCAGCTTCACATAGACAATGTTAACATCAGTAATAAAAATGCTGGAAAGTTTCTTGGCCTATTCCTAGACAAGAGACAACTTCAGCACCCGCATACAACACATAACTAAAAGTTTCTAAAACAGTTGGTATACTCTCCAAAATCAGATATTATATACCTAACTTTGCTCTCTTCTCACTATATTATTCCGGAAGATGAGAGGAAATGTCAGCACTGTGGAGAAATGCCCGACAGACCACTGGAACATTATCTAACACAGAGCACAGTTACAAACCCATTAAGATTTCAACTTAGATTCAACAGAGCAGAATAAGTTGTTAAACACACATGGCAAAATCTTACTGAAGCGACCATACGAGTCATAAATACTCATACTCCGCCCAAGTAAAACAGAAACAAGCATCACTTAGTGGGCCAGCCAGAGGCTTAGGGCCCGAGCAGGAACAAGTCCATCATCACCCAGCAAAAATTTGCTATCAGAATAATAAACTCTGCTATCAGAGACAACACTCAGCCCCCCTCAAGATAACAGCATTCTCAAGTTATCTCAAGATAACCCTGTTTAAATACCTAAACATGCTAAACATAAATTCACTCCACACATGCTCTTGTGTCAATTACATTTACAAAACCCTGTTCTTAAATGGAAACCCTGCTCTGAAACTCTCCCTGGACAGATGTAATAGGACCCATTATCACCACACCAGAAATAAATATCTCTTTGATATCCCCAGAGTCAAACTTAATCTGTGTAAACACACTATGCGAATAAAGGGACCTAGCCTATGGAACTCACTCCCTAATGAATTGAAAAGCTGCCCAACTTTTGCTTTATTCAAAAACAAAAAGTACCTAATTTCATTTACAGTACACAGTTTCCTACCTTGTGCTGTAAAATTCACTGTATCTAGTGCTACCCAATCCCCCAATCTTTATGTACCTAATCCAAACAACTTTACAATTGTGATCATTGCTGTCTTCTTATGTGTGCTATCAATATGCTGTATTGTGCTTATTAATCTTTGTTAAATTACCAATCAAGCCGTCAATGCTATCAATCAGAGCTACCAATGTGCTTTAATATACCTACTAATCTCTCTCATTTTTTTCTCTTGCAATGTACCTATTATCATTTTATAAATTTTGCTAGCATTTACCTACTTAAAATTATCTGTTAGATTTAGGACCTGCCCGAAATGCTGTGCATACTAGTGGCTTTACAAGAATGTTAACACCATGCTATGTATCCTCACAAACCCAATGTACCTTCTTGTATATAAACAAATAAAAAAATAAATATGTTACATTAAGGATCTGCCCAAAACGCTATGCGTGCTAGTGGCTTTACAAAAATGCAAAACTTCAATCCTCTGTGGTGTAGAGGTAAGACACTCGCCTGGCGTTCCGCGAGCGCTTTGTCATGGGTTCGTATCCTGGCCGGGGAGGATTTACTGGGCGCAAATCCTTAACTGTAGCCTCTGTTTAACTCAACAGTAAAATGAGTACTTGGATGTAAAAACGATTGTTCGCGGCGGGGATCGTATTCCAGGGACCTGCCCGAAACGCTACGCGTACTAGTGGCTGTACAAGAATATAATATCTCTTGTATATACAGTATCTCAAAAAAAAAAAAAAAAAATCCTCTGTACTCTCATAAAACCAATGTACTTTCTTGTAAATAAATAAAATCAAATGATATAAATTACAATAATTTTAAGTCTTAGTTTTAAGTTTTTTCTCCCATTTTCACATTGTGCCCAAAATGCTGTGCATACAAGTGTCCTAGACAGAGTAAATAAACCCATTGTACCTTCTTTTAATTTACCTTCTTTTAATGTACCTTTTTTAATTGAGATTAAAAGCATAAATACTACAGTAGCTCTATCTTGAAATCCAACATCCAGCTTGTAACTCATTTTGTATGTACAGGTGTATGTAATTTTCCCAAAATAAAATTATCATCATCATTACCAGATTAAGGACCTGCCCAAAACGATTTGCAAGAATAACAATGTTAAGTACTCTCACAACCCAAAGTACCTTCTTGTAAATAAATACTGTATATAAAATAAGTATGATGATAGGATTTGAACAATAGAGATTAGGGTCTCTAGGTCTAGTGTAATTTCAGGTATTATATGTAGCTTTAGCTGCCTTGTCTGAATTTTGTTCGATAATACCGATGTGAATAATTATATAATAAAAATAATATTAATGATTTAGGTAAAAAGAGTTACAAGCAGAATGTTGGATTTCGAGATAAAGCTAGTACTTGTACTGTATATATACTATACCTAAAGCCACTAATATGCACAGAATTTCAGGCAAGATGTGAAGATGAGAAAAAACTTAAAAACTAAGACTTAAAACTAATTGAGATTAAAAGCATAAATTGTACTGAAGTAGAAAAAAAGAATGACAATTATATGTTGAATGGAACAGCAGAAATTGCAACAGAATGGCAGCTAGTAATTGTAACTAAATAAACACACAGACCATAATTTTCTTTAAATTTATACATGGCAGATATCAGCAGTTTTACAAGTTAGTCATTAATCATTACAGGTTAATCACTAATCGCTTTAATGTTTGATAATAGTAAGGAATAGGTTGACATTTAGGAGGTAAGGTAGGTAACATGGAGTTGATTAGATGGTACTGTACCTATAAGCTAGGTATAGTACCATTCCCAGATACAAAATCCCATTGTATCGTATAATTTTACACACCATAGAATTCCCCAGATACAAAATCACATTGCACACAAGCAAAATCACATCTGCCCGAAACACTTTGCATAATAGTGACTTTAGGCATTGTATGTACTAGCTCTATCTATAAATTCATCAATACCTGTATCACCCCTTGTATGTATGTACTTTACTTAAATAAACATTTGAATTTTGAATTTGAATTTGAATCTGTACTTAGTTTTTCTCCTAAACTGGTCGAGAGATAGGCAGTCTCTGATGCGATTGGGAAGGTCATTTCACATTTTGGGACCCTTAATTTGCAGAGCATTTCTCATTTGGTTAAGTCACACTCTTGGAATATTAAATAGTTACTTGTTCCTATTGTGGTGTCCATGGGTTCTGTTACAACCTTCTAGGAAGCATTTAAGGTTAGGATTGACATTCCAGTTCAGAGTTTTATACTAAAGTTATATAAATATATAAATATAAAATAGTTATATAAAGTTTATAGTATAAGTTTTATACTCATGTGTACTAGAGTACACATGAGAGGATGTGCAGTGGCTTAATATCTAACATATTCAAAGATTTAAGTAACGGGGCCAAGTGCTCTCTGGGGCCAGAGTTTGATATTGTTCTAATAGCAGCTTTGTGTTGAGTAATTAAGAGAACATATTAGATTTTTGGGTAGTAGAGCCCCAAGCACAAATACCATAGTTGAGATAAGGATAGATGAGAGAGTAATAGAGCGTCACCAGGGGTTATCTTGAGGTTATCTTGAGATGATTTCGGGGCTTTAGTGTCCCCGCGGCCCGGTCCTCGACCAGGCCTCCACCCCCAGGAAGCAGCCCGTGACAGCTGACTAACACCCAGGTACCTATTTACTGCTAGGTAACAGGGGCATTCAGGGTGAAAGAAACTTTGCCCATTTGTTTCTGCCTCGTGCGGGAATCGAACCCGCGCCACAGAATTACGAGTCCTGCGCGCTATCCACCAGGCTACGAGGCCCCTAGGCTACGAGGGCAGGGCGGGGTACATAATATCCGATCTTAGAAAATTCCAATTATTTTAGAAACTTTTTTTTAGCAATATTTTGAATGTGGCCGTGGAAATTCAGTTTGTTATTAATGAGAACATCAAGGAATTTGCTTATGGAGGTATCATTGTGCAGCCTAAAGTTTATCTTCATTGTATCTATTGGTGGTTTATTAATGTTGGTTAGAAGAAATGTGGGGTAATAGTCTAAGGCCGGTAATAGTCTAGGGGAGCCGGTCGGCCGAGCGGACAGCACGCTGGACTTGTGATCCTGTGGTCCCGGGTTCGATCCCGGGCGCCGGCGAGAAACAATGGGCAGAGTTTCTTTCACCCTATGCCCCTGTTACCTAGCAGTAAAATAGGTACCTGGGTGTTAGTCAGCTGTCACGGGCTGCTTCCTGGGGTTGGAGGCCTGGTCGAGGACCGGGCCGCGGGGACACTAAAGCCCCGAAATTATCTCAAGATAACCTCAAGATGGTCCTATCAGTGATTATCCCTGAGGTAAGAGCAGGTAACCATATCCCTGAAATACGGTACGAAATTACCTGAATTCCCCAGATACAAAATCACATTGCACACAAGACAGAAGAGTAAGGGGAGACATGATCACCACCTACAAAATTCTCAAGAGGAATTGACAGGGTGGACAAAACAAAATATTTAGCATAGATAGAACAAGAAGAAGACCCAGATGGAAATTGAGTGCCCAAATGAGCCACAGAGACGTTAGAAAGAACTTTTCCAGTGTCAGAGTAGTTAGTAAATGGAATGCATTAGGCAGTGATGTGGTGGAGGCTGACTCCATACACAGTTTCAAGTGTAGATATGATATGATATGATAGAGCCCGTGTGTAGTGTAATGTTTCAAGTGTAGATATGATAGAGCCCAATAGGCTCAGGAACCTGTACACCAGTTGATTGACAGTTGAGAGGCGGGACCAAAGAGCCAGAGCCCAACCTCCGCAAGTACAAATAGAGTTCATATACATATACACACACACACACACATATACAAGTATATATATATATACATATATTAAAACCTATACTGAAATCCTAACAGTAGTGTATATCTCAGAGATAATACTGAACCAATCACAAGCATTACTTACCAAAACGATTTGGTTTAAAAACTATAATAGAGGACATGCGAGAGCAGCTCAGTGTAAGAGGAATATGTAGTGAGCGTGCGAGCGCGCGCGCGGGCCCGTCCCCACATACACACACACACACTGAAGGAAGTCGTCTGCTGGCCGGCCTCACCTAGTGCTGCTCCCCTACTGGTGCTGGCCCCGGGGTCCGCCTCTCCCTCTCCCCTCCCGCCTCGCAACTCGACTAAAATTTATTTATTTATTTATTTATGCATATACAAGAATGTACATAAGGAATGTGAGGATACAAATATGGTAATTACAGTCTTGTAAAGCCACTAGCACGCGCAGCGTTTCGGGCAGTGGATTATTGTGTATAACAAAATAAAATAAGTGTATAATAAGATAAGTGTATAACAAAATAAAATAAAATAAAATAAAATGTTTATTTAGGTAAGGTACATACATACAATAAATTTTTACAAAGATTGGTTGACTTATAGGTAGAGCTAGTACATACAATGCCTAAAGCCACTATTACGCAAAGCGTTTCGGGCATGATAAACTTAAATGACAAGCTTAATACTAATTGAGCATAATGAGTACTAAATGAGTACATTACTCTCCTAATTGTATTCACTGTTTATCTCTCAGAATGTTTGGTAATATGTTTATTGTTTGTGATGTGTGTCTATGTATGTATTAACACGATGTACTGACCGGGGTGAGAATAGCTTGAGCTACCTCATCCCTTTGTGTGTATTTTACATCAATAAACTTATTTCAATTTCAATTTCAAGCTTGCGGGGATGGGCTTTGGCTCTTTGGTCCCGCCTCTTCCCTGCCAGAAACGCTTTGTGTAATAGTGGCTTTAGGCATTGTATACGTACTAGCTCTATCTATAAATCTATCCATTTTTGTAAAATCTCTTGTATGTATGTAGCTTACCTGAATAAACATTATTATTATTATTATTATTATTATTATTATTAACTGTCAATCAACTGGTTGACAGGTTCCTGAGCCTATTGGGCTCTATTATAACTACATTTGAAACTGTATATGGAGTCAGCCTCCACTACATCACTTCCTGTTGATTGATGTCAATCAATTAGCATAAGCTAATCTATCCTTTTGAGATGTATTTCTTTCTTATCGCAATAAACATACTTGAACTGTTAATCGACTGTTACTAACTACTATGTTTTTTTCCACTCACATACACACATGCCCAGGAAGCAGCCCGTAACAGCTGTCTAACTCTTGGGTAACTATTTATTGCTAGGTAACAGGGGGCATCAGGGTGAAATAAACTCAATTTGTTTCCGCCTCCGCCGGGGATCGATCCCAGGAAATGTATGTACTTTTACCTGAATAAAAATTTGAATTTGAATTTGAATTTGAAACTGTGTATGGAGTTTGCCTTCACATATATCTTCATCAGTGTAATCATCTCTGTCAATATATATTGTAGTTATATGATGATATAAAATTTTGCAACAATGTACCTTTTCATCTTACCTGAGGGCCACTAACCCTAGTGGCCTCGACGAGGACAGTAAGCCGGCGGCTTGTCGAAGGTCCCACCAAAACTGTTATCATTTTTATAAATTTTGCAAGTATTTACCTACTTAAAATTTTCTTAGATTAAGGACCTGTCCGAAACGCTGTGCGTACTAGTGGCTTTACAAGAATGTAATTACTATGCTATGTATCATCACAATCCCAATATACCTTCTTGTATATAAATAAATAAATAAATAAATAAATTTGCCTTGATCATCTTTTCCAGGTATATTTTTAAATTAAATTAAATTAAATTATTAAATTAAATTTTGTATTCAGGAAAAGTACATTACATAGTTGATTTACAAACATAATGTTGGATTTATAGATAGAGGTAGTACATACAATACCTAAAGCCACTATTACGCATAGCGTTTCGGGCAAGGTGAGGTGGGGAAAAACACTTCAAAATTCAAATTCAAATTCAAAATTCAATTTCAAAATTCAAGACTAAAGACTAATCTCAACAGACGGGAGACATCTCCTGTCACACAGGGTGCAGTCACACCTCCACAGATCTCCAGTATTAGCTAATGATACTGGTAATGGCTCAAAAGGGCCACCACTTACGGGCTATTCATGCCCGTGCCACCTTTTGAGTGGCTTAATCTTCATCAATCAATCAATCACTAATCTCAAGATCTCAAGACTTAGACTAAAACTTAATAGTAATTGAGATTAAAGTATATTGTGTTGAAAAAGAAATAAAAAATAAAAAAGGGGGGACATGGCAGAAATCAGCAACTGTAACAGCATTTGTTTAAAAATAGCAAGACATGGGTTGACATTTAGGGGGTAAGGTAGGTTACATGGAGTTAATTAGGTAGTACTTAGTTTTACTCTTAAAGTGGTTGAGGGAGGTACAGTCTTTGACATGATTTGGGAAGGTCATTCCACATTCTGGGTATCTTGATTTGTAGAGCACTTCTAGTTTGGTTAAGTCGCACTCTTGGAATATCAAATAGGTTGACCAGACCACACACTAGAAGTTGAAGGGACGACGACGTTTCGGTCCGTCCTGGACCATTCTCAAGTTGATTGAGAATGTTCTCAATCGATTGAGAATAGATCGACTTGAGAATGGTCCAGGACGGACCGAAACGTCGTCGTCCCTTCAACTTCTAGTGTGTGGTCTGGTCAACATACTTCAGCCACGTTATTGTGACTCATCACCTGCATATCAAATAGGTATTTGTTTCTGGTGTGGTGCCCATGAGTTCTGTTATTATTAATGGCTTTAGGTATTGTATGTACTAGCTCTATCTATAAATCCAACATTATGTTTGTAAATCAACTATGTAATGTACTTTTCCTAAATAAAAAATTTAATTTAATAAGTTAATTTAATTTAATTTAAAAATATACCCGGAAAAGATGATCAAGGCAAATGGTGGGATCTTCGATAAGCCGCCGGCTTGTCGAAGTTACACATTTTCAGTTACACAGTTTCAAATTCAAATTCAAATTTTTATTCAGGTAAAAGTACATACGTTGATGAAGAGTTACAAACATAATGTTAGATTTATAGATAGAGCTAGTACATACAATACCTAAAGCCACTAATACACATAGCGTTTCCGGCAAAATATGTAGATATGAGAGAACATAAGAGACTCAGGAACCTGTACACCAGTTGATTGACAGTTGAGAGGCGGGACCATAGAGCCAAAGCTCAACCCCGGCAAGCACAACTACAGGAGAACAACTAGGTGAGCGCTGAGTGGACAGCGCTCGGGATTCGTAATCCTAAGCTCCGGGGATCGATCCCCGGCGGAGGCGGAAACAAATTGACTTTATTTCACCCTGATGCCCCCTGTTACCTAGCAATAAATAGTTACCCAAGAGATAGACAGCTGTCACGGGCTGCTTCCTGGGCATGTCTGTGTGTGAGTGGAAAAAATAGTAGTTAGTAACAGTCGATTAACAGTTCAAGTATGTTTATTGAGATAAGAAAGAAATACATCTCAAAGGGATAGATTCACTGACCGCAGGAGGCGTGCTGTCTCTACACTGACCGCAGGAGGCGTGCTGTGTCTCTACACTGACCACAGGAGGCGTGCTGTCTCTACACTGACCACAGGAGGCGTGCTGTCTCTACACTGACCACAGGAGGCGTGCTGTGTCTCTACACTGACCACAGGAGGCGTGCTGTCTCTACACTGACCACAGGAGGCGTGCTGTGTCTCTACACTGACCACAGGAGGCGTGCTGTCTCTACACTGACCGCAGGAGGCGTGCTGTGTCTCTACACTGACCACAGGAGGCGTGCTGTCTCTACACTGACCGCAGGAGGCGTGCTGTCTCTACACTGACCACAGGAGGCGTGCTGTGTCTCTACACTGACCGCAGGAGGCGTGCTGTGTCTCTACACTGACCACAGGAGGCGTGCTGTGTCTCTACACTGACCACAGGAGGCGTGCTGTGTCTACACTGACCGCAGGAGGCCTGCTGTGTCTACACTGACCGCAGGAGGCGTGCTGTGTCTCTACACTGACCGCAGGAGGCGTGCTGTCTCTACACTGACCGCAGGAGGCCTGCTGTGTCTCTACACTGACCACAGGAGGCCTGCTGTGTCTACACTGACCACAGGAGGCCTGCTGTGTCTCTACACTGACCACAGGAGGCGTGCTGTGTCTCTACACTGACCACAGGAGGCGTGCTGTGTCTCTACACTGACCGCAGGAGGCGTGCTGTCTCTACACTGACCGCAGGAGGCCTGCTGTGTCTCTACACTGACCACAGGAGGCCTGCTGTGTCTCTACACTGACCACAGGAGGCCTGCTGTGTCTCTACACTGACCACAGGAGGCGTGCTGTGTCTCTACACTGACCACAGGAGGCGTGCTGTGTCTCTACACTGACCACAGGAGGCGTGCTGTGTCTACACTGACCGCAGGAGGCCTGCTGTGTCTACACTGACCGCAGGAGGCGTGCTGTGTCTCTACACTGACCACAGGAGGCGTGCTGTGTCTCTACACTGACCGCAGGAGGCCTGCTGTGTCTCTACACTGACCACAGGAGGCGTGCTGTGTCTACACTGACCGCAGGAGGCGTGCTGTGTCTACACTGACCGCAGGAGGCGTGCTGTGTCTACACTGACCACAGGAGGCCTGCTGTGTCTCTACACTGACCGCAGGAGGCGTGCTGTCTCTGCACTGACCGCAGGAGGCCTGCTGTGTCTACACTGACCGCAGGAGGCGTGCTGTGTTTACACTGCCCGCAGGAGGCCTGCTGTGTCTACACTGCCCGCAGGAGGCCTGCTGTGTCTACACTGCCCGCAGGAGGCCTGCTGTGTCTACACTGCCCGCAGGAGGCCTGCTGTGTCTACACTGCCCGCAGGAGGCGTGCTGTGTCTCTACACTGGCCACAGGAGGCGTGCTGTCTCTACACTGACCGCAGGAGGCGTGCTGTGTCTACACTGACCGCAGGAGGCGTGCCGTCTCTACACTGACCGCAGGAGGCGTGCTGTCTCTACACTGACCGCAGGAGGCGTGCTGTCTCTACACTGACCGCAGGAGGCGTGCCGTCTCTACACTGACCGCAGGAGGCGTGCTGTCTCTACACTGACCGCAGGAGGCGTGCTGTGTCTACACTGACCGCAGGAGGCGTGCCGTCTC